GATTAATTAGCATTTAGAGAGGTACCCACTGCCCCAATTTGCATGACAATGAGTTAGTTTGTAATAATAATTCTCTTTGAGCTTATTACATGTTTGTGGTGCCATTTTTCTCTCTATCTGATCAGTCTCCGCCTCCACTATCTTGCTATGATTGTACCTTCTCCCATCATGTTTTTGGTGTCTGGTGGACATAGCCAACTTAATTAAAAAGTTGTCCTACCAGGTGTCAAGTCAGCAGCTCAGCTCCAATCCAAATCCATATCAATACAAATCCATGATTTTGAAACTTAAAATATATAGCACTTTTAGTTTGACTTGTAGTTTTTTTTTTTTTTTTTCACTCCAAATTCATCGATCAATTGTAAGCAAACCAACTCCATTATTGCTTATTAACCCACCCAAAAAAAATTATTGCATGTTATTAAGTAAACAACCGTTTAATGATCATATATTAAGAATTTAAAATGAACATCTTATTCATAAAAAGATTAAAATAAGAGTTACCTACTTACCTTCACCGTTATAAATTTCTTTCATTTTTTAATTAAAAATAAATAGATTGTTTCAATTTCAGAGCATAAAATGTTATAAATTATTAGTATTATATATTTTTTATTTGACTATATTAAAATAAACCATTAATAAAATCCAAACTGATAATCATTTTATGTATGAAAAGAACTTTACATCCCGCTAACTGGATCGACCGTGCCAGTTAGTATTAAAAACATCTCTTTCAATGTTCGGTTAACACGTATTTCTGTCATCCTGTCCATGGTTCTCGTTTCAAATGGGATTTCCTCAACAAAATCTACGTAAGACAATATGTAGACAATTTAATTAACTTATTTACTTTTTTAAATATTATAATAAACTGTAAACACTGAGAATTGACTTCAAATTTATTTGGATGAATCATAAAATTAAAATAATAAAATTTATTATAATTATAATTAAAAATTTTTTACAATTATGATTAAACAAATAAAATTTAATAAAAATTTTGTATTAAATAAATCTAATTAGAGTTAACATTTATGTTTAATTAATAATACAATAAATTTAATCGCATCGAAATGATGGTAAAATCCAAATAAACATTTAATGTGTATTGAGATGGCTCAATTGGAGAGAGCTGGAGTAGTGGTGTTGACAATTTCAAGCAATGATGATAATGGTTTGGTTTAAATTTTAGTTAATTTAAATTTTTATACACTATATAATATTATTAATTTAAAATTTTGATATGAATTTGAATAAAAATTTTTTAAAAATTAAATCAAATTGAATTATATTAAATTGATTAAGTTTTTAAATTTTAAATTTTATTTTTTATATATTATTTTAATATAATTTTTATTATATTTAAATAAATTTAGATATAAAATAATTATTTTTATTTTATAAAAATAATATATATAAACTAATAAAAAATATATAATTTAATTTATTTTTTTCATTTTTAATCCAAATTTAATGTATATATTTAATATTCAAATAAAATTCAAACAAAATTTAAAAAAAATCAAAGCAAACAAAATATTATAATTGTAAATTAATTTTACATTTTTTCTATTTTTTTCCTCACCCATACCACCAACCCTTTTCAAATTTCTCTTTAGTACTACTACAGCTTAGTCACGAATCTCGCATTAAAAATAGATGTGAATGATTTCGTGTCCTTTCACTCTCCGTTTAAATACTAGTAATATTTTATTGTCCTTTTTTTCGGTTTCACGTATCTTTATTTGCCTCAAAATCTCCTATAAATTTTTCTTAAAATTGAGATAATCTTAAATTGTCACCCTTAATTTAACTCACAATTTTTTTTTAATTTATATTTTACTTTTACAATGTTATTAAAATAATAAAGAAATAGTCCATGAAGATGTAAAAAGAACATAAAATAAGTATTAAATTCAATTAAATTAGGAGCAATTATAAGTTCTAATAATGTTTTATACTCTACCAAATTTTAAACTCTTTGTATTAACCATAAAGGTTTAACTTAATAGTTATTACTCCTCCTTATGATAGATAAAGCTTACCGTTAGAGTCTTTCATTCTCTTGAATTTTCTCAAATCTTAAAAAATTATATCATTATTTAATTTTATGTAATGAGTAATCACGTAATGAAAATAAAAAAATTTATTTAATTTATTCATATAATTATTTTAAATAAAAATATCTAATAAATTTAAATTTTAATAAATATATATTTTTAATTTACTCTTAAATCTTTTATTTTATTATATGATTGAAAAAGATATTAAATATTTAAATTCTTTCGAATTTATAATTTATAATTGATAACTTCAATAATATATTAACTAATCTAAAAAAAAATCAATTCCATATAATCATTTTTTTTATCTTTCGTGTTGTGATATTCTTTGTGAAAAAGAGCGTACGTCAGAGAAAAAAAAAATTAATGCACGAGTGGTATGTTTAATGGTTTTTATATCCCTACACGTATTTGCTTTGCACTGAAATGGAAATATCTTTCCGACTTTACATAAATAAATAAATAAAATATTAAATATATATATTTTTAATTTTTGAAGTGGATTTCTAAAAAAGGGGTCCTTCCTTAATATATATAATCGCAAATGCCAAATGACACTCAGGATCGCATATCCTCGGGCATATGTTCCATTAAATAAATAAAAAAGAGAAATAAGCAAATAGAAAATTAAACTATAAAGTTATAAATTTTTTTATGCAATAAAGTCATAGTGTTAATATCAGCATTGGCCATTAAAGACTATTAATTAAATGCTTTTTTTTTCTTAAATCACAGTATAAAATATTTATAAATAAGTGTACTTGGACTTACTTACTGACGTATGAGATTTCTTTTTTTTTTTTAGAAGAAAGGGATTTTTTTTAATGTTATAACCACACAAATCATTGTTGCATAACTTTGTTACATTAATTTAGAATTCATTTTGATTAAGCAAATTTGAATTTTGCGACTTAATTATTGATGGTCAAAATATTAGTGGCCAGAGTTTCTGACTTATCGTGACTTCGTGTTACTCGTGTCTCTTTCACTGTCTTTGTGACATTAAGCTTTAGCCTTTTTTTTTTCAAAATTTTTTTTAATGCGATTGAGGTAAATATAAAATTAAAATAATAAAAAAAATCTCTGAATAATATTATTTTATTCAAATAATTTTTTATATTTTATTATATTAAAATAAATTATTAATCCTTATTTTGCATCCAAATAAAAATTTTAACCCTTAATTTATATCAACAAAAATTTTGGGTACAGAAAAATATCTAAAAATCTTGGGTGTTACTTGTTCTTTTATGAAATTGTAAATATAAAAAAATCATAATCATATAACAAATAACTTAATCAAACTAACAAATCACTCAATAAAACAGTTAGTAACTGAATAAATTCAATTTAAAATTAACTTAAATCCATAAATAATGAGATTTAAACTTGAAACAAATAATTTCTCTCATCTTTCCTACTAATTAATTGTTTTTAGTGTTTAGCCTTAATGGATAAGGAAATATGGTGATAGATGAAAGCAAATTAGAGAATTTTTAGAAAAAGAAAAAGAAATTTAAAAGGCTCATTGGCTATGGTGCCATGCCACCAATAAACCAAAAGGAAAGCCAGAACAATGGACAGTTCCTTCACTGTTAAAAGCAAAACAAGAGAAGAAAAAAGACAGGTTAACCCATGTGGAATGATATTTTTGGGCTAACTTGTTTTGGTTAGTAAAGTATATATGCCTACATTGAAGAAAACCCAAACAGAAAACTGATGAAGAAGATGAAAGAATAGGGATGTTCATTGGGGAATATACAAGTAAAAATTGCCCAGAAAAGAATTAAAAATAAAGTAAAAAAAATAGCGTTTGATGAGTAAGACAGCATTATAATTTTCTTTTTGATTTGTGGGAAAATCCCAATATATACGTTCTTTGGAATTTTTTTTTCTCTCATTAAAATCAACCTCTTGCTTGAAAAACACCTCAAAGTCTCAGACTTTCATTCCCTTCCTACCCATCCCACACTCATTTCGTGTCAATTTTTATACAAAAATATCCAAAAGACAAAAAAAAAAAAAAAAAAAAAAAAGGGTGAAAATCAAAGTCCACGCGCGCATACGCGCTCTATCTCTTTCTATAGTCTAAAGTCTAAACACAAAAAGAAAAACCGCCTTCTCTTCACTCCATACCTGTCGTTTTTTGTTTATATAAAAAAAGAAACAGTAAACAAAAAAACTCTCCCTTCTCTGTCTCTCTCTCTTTACCATTATCTTCTCTAAAATGGGTTTTGCTTAGGAATTGGTTGTCAGCCAAATCTGGAGTAACCCATTTCACTGTTCTCTGCTATTTGAAGGAAAAAAAAAGAGAAAATTTTATATATTGTTCCCGTTTCATCTTCTTTAAATGCTTCCGTTGAGAATGGGTTACTCTTATATTTCACTGCGAGCAGCTGTTTTTTCCCTGTCTGAACTTTTTTTCCTTGCTCAGCTTCCTTTGGTTTGTGTTAAAGCTTGAAACTTTGTCCGAATCTACCAACACCCATTGGTCAGTTACCCTGGAACCAGTTTTATTACAGGTATGCGACCATTTTTTGGGAGAAAATTTTCATCTTTTTTGTATTGATCCGTTTGCCTGTCTGTAATCTAATGATGTTTTGATTTAGTTGGTGATGTTTATTGCTTTTTTAGTTATGTGGGTTTTTTTATGTTTTGATGTTTGATTGATAGGTAAGGATTGCCTAATCCTTCTCTTCTTTTACCTAACATTATTTTATTTGTTCTAAAAACACTTTAGGGTTTTTATTCTTTTTTTTTTTGGGGTTGCTAAATTCATGAAAGATTGTTTTATTTTTTAAGTGGAAAGGAACACAACTCGTTTTGGATCAAATACTCTTGCTCTAGTAAGAAATCTGGCTAAAAAAGTGTCTCCTTTTTATATCATTTCGATGTTGTTCTCTATAAATACTTTTCTCCTTTTTAAGTAACAAATCAGTGATTCACATTTTTCTCTTTTGCTTCTTTATATATTTAATGATAAGATTTTAAAATTTTAAAATTTATTTTGATTAATTTTCCTGTTTTTGATATTATCTTTCTCTTGGAAATCAATTTTCTAGCTTTATCTGCTTATGGGCAAATTTGATTTAATTGTTGGCTGATTTGTTTCCTTAATCTTATTGCATCTTCTTCTAAGTATGTATTTTTCTTACATAGATTATTAGATGTCCTAATTTGATGTTTTCCGCCTCATCTAAGGTTGCTTGGTTGTGTGAACTTGATACAATATCCTTAACAGGCATGCATGTAATCACAGATATCTAAAAATATTTTTGTTCTTTATTGAATTGTTCTTTTCTTATTTCTCAAGATTCAAGTTATGGGTTTCTTTTTTGTTCTTTCATGTTATGATACTTGGAAATATCCTTTTGCAAAGGAAAACAGGCTATGCAGGCTTTGCATTCATTTTAAAGGGGCATGCTCTATTCAATTATTGGTAATTAGTTTTTTGCTGTTGAATGGGAGAATCTGTTTTTGTTGGGAGATCAAATTAGTTTTCTATAATGATTTTGTCTCATTTTAATCGACTTTTTTTTTCATCATTTATTTAAATTTGTTGTCCTAATAATCTGAGGGGTTTCGAGTGTGTACGGTCAGTTGATCCTAATAACATGATAGGCACATTAATTAGCACAATGTGCATTCAACACCTTCTGATTTTTCTCCTAAATTTTGTACCACTCTTCATACTAAGGCATAGATAAATTATTTGCCATGCATTTCCCATACCTATTTGTAATATATCTTCATGCCCTTTGACTTGTACTTGGATTTTGGACAAGGCCTAGGTTTTTCATATTCCTTAATGATTTATGGCATTATGAGGTGATAGGTACCCATCTCATCATTGTTTTCCTATTTGGCCTATTTCGTAAAGAAATTTATTCTTTTTTTCTTTTTTAAATTATCAGGATTTTCTTGATCAGCTCTTAATCATGGAGGGAGAGACTTCTTGGATCAGCCATTGCATTGATGACATGTCTAAAGACATTGGTGACGTTGATTCATTCTCAGAACTTGGTGACGAAGGTAATAGAGGAACAACTTCGGTTTCTGTGGACTTAATTCTACCTGATGACTTATTGGAACGTATCTTGGCTTATCTCCCCATTGCTAGCATTTTCAGAGCTGGTTCTGTGTGTAGAAGATGGCATGAGATTGTCAGTTCCAAAAGGTTCCTATGGAACTTTTCGCATGTCCTATCACAAAAGCCTTGGTATTTTATGTTTACAAGTTCTGATGATCCGGTTGGTTATGCTTATGACCCAATACTTCGAAAGTGGTATTGCATTGAACTGCCCTGCATTCAGACTTCCAACTGGTTCATTGCTTCATCATGTGGCTTGGTTTGTTTCATGGACAATGACAGTAGAAGCGAGTTGCATATCTGCAACCCAATCACCAAAAATTGCAAGAAGCTTGAGGACCCCCCTGGTCTGAAATTCTCTGATTATAGTGCACTGTCTATCTCAGTGAACAGGACATCCCACAATTATACTATATCTATTGTGAAGTCTAAACAAGTTCCTGGAAATTTTTTTCAATGGGACCTTTCAATTCATATTTATGATTCAGAAACAATGATGTGGGCAACCTCCTTGACTGAGGTTTTGACAGGATGGAGAGGTGGAGATGAAAGTGTGATCTGTGATGGGGTTTTATACTTTCTGATTTACTCAACTGGGGGTGGCACGCCAGAAAATCGGCATGGCCTAGTTACATATAATCTTTCTAGCCGATCATCCCCATTGATAAGGAGTTTTATTCCAGTACCGGGCTTTCTTACCTGTGGCCGTCTGATGAACCTAAAGGAAAAGCTGGTAATGGTGGGAGGAATTGGGAAGCAAGATCGGCCTGATATAATTAAGGGCATTGGTATCTGGGTTCTTGATGGGAGGACTTGGGTAGAGGTTGCTCGCATGCCCCACAAGTTTTTCCAAGGATTTGGTGAGTTGGATGATGTTTTTGCTAGTAGTGGTACTGATAATCTCATATATATCCAAAGCTATGGTGCACCAGCTCTTCTTGTTTTTGACATGAACCAGAAACAATGGAATTGGTCACTGAAGTGTCCGGTGTCAAAGAAATTTCCCCTTCAGCTGTTCACCGGTTTTTGCTTTGAACCAAGACTTGAAATTTCTCCTTAATTTTTTTCTTATTGGATTTGAGGGTGTCATTGATCAATTCGTCCCAAATTCCCACTTTTCCTTTTTTTTCAACGGCTTTTATTTTAAGTTATTGTGATATTTCCGTTCCACAAAAAAAAAAATGTACACAGAATGTACCATCAAGTAAAGCTGCTTATTTATGAAAATGGAAAGTATTAGTAATTCTTTAGCGTTGGCATATACTGCATAAAGAAATACAAGTTTAATTTTCTTAATTGCGGAGTCCTTAAACTATCAAGCTGGAGGTTGCTTCAAACTTCCCTACACTTTAAGAGTTAAGTAGCTGAATCTTTCATTATGTTGGGTGCTTTCACGAAAGACAAACACTAAAGAGTAAAGCCTTGCTGAACTCTTTAGGTAGCATCTTGCCAAGCTTATCTGGCAGTGTTCAGCATCACGCCTCTTGTGGCAATTTCATTATCAACGGGCCAGAAATCTCTCATACTCCGAGGCAAATTTTGGGGATGGTTGGTCTCTTGTTCCTTTCCTTGGTTTGGTATGTATGGCCATCCCCAAATCGATATCTGGAGATTGATAACTTTCTCTGTCTCAGACAAAGACTTTCCTTTCATCTTTGGAGTCAGAACTCAGAGATGGGTTCCCATGCCAATGAGTTCAAACATTTTCTCCTTCCTGCTGCTCTGCTTCTGCATTTCCATCACCTCAAATTAGGTTGTCCATGATGGGATTGGTTAGGCCTAGAATTCTAGACTTAGGACCACACATTTTGTCAAGCTGGGAATGCCATTTTTTTTTTGCCAGCATGAAATTTACAGAAAACTTTAACACTCTCTGCCTATTGACCTGTATCATAGTTTGAGAAACCAATGGCAAAGTGTTATATTATTAACTCTGCTTCATTGTTTCCTACACATTTAACTAACACTGGTTTAATTAAATGCTTATGATAACTCTTAATTGTTTTACGGGGAAAAACCATCTAGTTTTCTAGTTGCCACAAATACTATTATTTCTTGATACAATTGGATAAAGTGATTTGAACATCGAACCTTCATCTAATTTGCACTAAAGCAGTAGTAATAATCACTAGGCAAAGTTTTAGACTGGTGTCTTTTAACCGCAGCCTTAAGTCAAGTGGGCAAAGGATGAAATTGAATGATAGCTCGAGTTTCTTTTTGGTGTGTGGCACCGAGTGGCCAGTGCCATTATAATTCAGTGGGGTAATATCATAGGGCTAGACGATTAACATGTCATGCGGGCCTTACCGATTTTGCCTTCAGCAAAGCTGGTTATTGCACATTCTATTTTGGATTATTAAAATGAATGATTTTGAACTGTATCTTTTTAAAATAGTAATTTAAATCCCATAAAAAATTTATTTAAGATCAATTAAATATTATTTTATAGATAAAAAGTTTATAAAAAATTTTAAAATTTTTTTCTGATAAACGAATTAGTATACTTATAAATAGATAATATATAAAATTAGATATGAGAAAAAATATAATAAAATTATAAAATTTTATAAAATACATATTTCATAAAATTACAACAGATTAACGTATTTATAACTATATTATTTGAGCGGATTAAAGAAAAATGAGATTGTACATGTAAGTATGATGCATGATGTATATAAAAATATGTTCGTTTAGATTGAAGATACTTCGTACGATTATAGAAAATTGAAACGATATATAAATATTAATTATTGAGTGGTTGATTAAAATTATATATTTTTAAGTAAATTGATTTTATTATTTTTATATCTCTCAACCCTTATTATTTTATGTGCATTATTTTAGATATATCAATTCACCACAATATTTTTAATAATACTAAATACTTACAATTCATAAATTATAATTTTTTTCATCACATTTTTAAATATAATTTTTCAATTATAACAATAATGCTAAACTAATCTTTATACATACACAAAAGCTTTTGCTTAGGCTGTAAGATAAATAATAAATGGTCCCCAGACTTGCGAATTTGAAGAACAAAACCCTGAATAATCCCCATCCATGATTTATCATTAAACATCTTTAGCTGACTGCTTTTTCTTTGCCTTGAGTTAGGTCGCAAATGGTCCCAACTCTCCTAAGCCAAAACCCTACATTAACAAGGCTCAAACAAAACCTGTCATCTCCTCCTTCCAATCTAACTAAATTCTAGTACTAAAAGGGTTAGGTGGATTATGTCAAGTTTTAACCCACCAACAAAGATGAAGAAAAAGAAAATGTGCTTTACTATTACTTTTTTTTTGGGTGCATAGAAAAGCACTGGGGACCATGACCCATTTTTGGAGGCCCAAAGAAGGGAAAAGAGGTTCAAATGGAAAACAGGAAATTGGATCAAGTGATGATGGTTGGTTACTTGTTTCTCAAAAACCACACCAACTAAACAAACTGAGTCCAAACTCAACTAAACTTACCAGACACGAAATTGTCTTAAAATGATAGTTGTTTGGGTCGTGGGGGACCCACCCACCCCCTGTTTTCTGAATCTCATAACTGAATCTGGCGCTAAAAACTGGATTCACTTCTACTGTCCACCCGCCAATCCGCCACGCCCTTCAATTTTTACAACGAAATTAGAACCGAATAAAATGGAAAATTCAAAGCAAAATTAGAAAAAAAAAAAAAAAGGGAGGGCGTTTCATTCAATCAAAAGGAATTTGAGATTCTTGTAATTCTTTTAGAATTGCTCTTGGAAAGGTATATTCAAAATTCATCTATTCAACAAAATTTGATTTTATATATGGTGTTTTGATCTACTTTTTCAATATTGTTTTTCGTCATTCAATGCCTTTTTTTTTTTTTTTGCTTTTGTTATTTTTATAATCTGGCAATTGTTTGATTGCATTCATGATTGCTTGATTCTCCATTGCAGCTTGAATAAAATTGAAGAAGATATGTAGATTATATATGAAAATTTAGGCATTGGAAAGTAGGAACTTAGGGAATGAAAAAAGAAGGGATAATTGAAATTGAAGGATAAATGCTTGACGTTATACATGAGATTATACGATTCATTTTTAATCCACTTTTGAGAGCAATTACCGTGTCTATGTATATGGGGAAATAACACTACATCAAGACATGAATTTCAACCATTTGACATATTTATTTGCAAAATTTCTACAATGCAAAAGGGTGCTGAATTGCCGATTATATAAGAGCATTTTGAAGGGTGGTGAGTAAATGGCACTTTCAGACAACGAGCTTTCAGCAGAGGACTTAACAGCTACACAAAGCAATTGGATTCAATATTCTAAACAGCACCGTAATAATCTCCCTCCAGGATCAGTTACTGGCTTTGAATGGAAAGATTACTGTCCTAAAGCTTTCAGGTTTTTTTTTTTATTTGTTTTCAATCATGTTTGATCATTGAATTCATACTTTATCTCTCTATTTTTATTATATATATCAACTTTGTTGATATATTGAGACGTGGGTGTTCTTCCTTCCAGACTTATACAAGAACTCGAAAATATTGACAATGATAACTACATGAAGTTAGTTTGTAGTGACGAAACTATAAGGAAAGTCTCTTCAACGTTGAGACTTGGAAACATGTTCTTTCTGTCCAAGGACAACCGATTTGCAATAAAAACACTACGGAAATCTGAAGTCAAGGTAACAAAATCAACCTTATGTCACGATCATCTTAAATTTGAACATAAAAGAGACTGGACTTGTTGCCATTTCTATTGTGGATTCTGAGTTGTTATTTACGATTTTTTGAGTCAGAAAAGAATGTTTAAATATGGTTAGTGTTTGATGTACGTAGGTCCTAATACAAATGCTTCCAAGCTACTATAGCCATCTCAAAAAGTTCCGCAACACAGTATTGAACAAGCTGTATGGAGTTCATCTGTTGAAGCCAGTAGGAGGTGTTAAGGTAAAAGGAACATAATTATATCTCGCAGTAAAGCTATGTTCCCTAAAACTACAGTTGTGAATCATATCTGGATTATCAACCAACAAGAAGGAAACAAAGGATATCTTATTTGATACGAAACCTTTATTGGTTGTCACTTTTTGTTTGTTATTGTTTCACTTTTCTGTAGCTATACTTGACAAGTTTTGGAAGCCTAGCTCTTTTTTGCAAGGTAATAGGCGCATATGGATATTCTGAATATCAGATGAATAATTGCTTTTTCTTAACAATTGAGTCATAGTTTTAAACAGTCCGACAATGAAGACCTTGATCCTTATTTTAGAACAATTCCCCTCCTATAATTGAAGGTCTTCCTCACTTGAATAGTAAGTATAATGTTTCATGTTTGACCTCAACAATAAACTAAAATTAGGAGCAAACCCAGATGAAAACTCTTAATCTAGATTTTGTAATTAATTTCATTTAAGAATTATATATGACTAATGTTTAATTTATCAAGGTAATATATTACTAATAAATTCTGGAAGTGTAATCACAGTAAAGAATTTTTTGAATAGCATCCTCGTGTTGCAATTGATCATTGCGAGTTGACTTGGTAAACAGGTTTATTTTGTGGTTGTAGCAAACATATTCAAGTCAGATTTATTGATGCATCGGTGTTATGACCTCAAAGGCTCATTACAAGGTCGAAAAGTCGAAAAAATGAGATACCGAGAGAAAACTCTTCATAAAGAGTCGGATCTTGATTTTTTCTTTTACCTCGAACCACTGATCCGAGATAGGCTTTTGAAGTAAGTCCATCAATCTATATCTCTTAGCAATATGGAGCTCCCACCTTTATTAGGGAAACATAGTTTTCTTTTTGGATAAATGGTAACATGATTTTTATGCGGTTGCCTACTCCTTATTGTTTATTTTTTACAGAGATCTGTCGTAGTTTGGCATGAATTATCTTAGGTAGAATTAATTGAATACCTTCAACTGCAAATAGACATGAACAGTATTAAACCCGAAAAAAGGAACAGATTAGAAGGGAATAGAACCCCCATTTTTTACCCTCTCCACCCGCTACTCCCAATGCATGCATGCGAGTGTGTTACCTGACACGTCAATTCCTTTGTTGATTAACAAAAGCATTTTTATTTGATAGGCAAATCAAGCATGATTGTGCTTTTCTGGAGGCTGAAGGCATCATGGATTACAGTTTGTTGCTTGGTTTACATGTAAAAGGATCACCTCAAGGTGAATTTTCCCAGTCACTTTCATTGCTTTAGCTTTTGTGAACCCCTACAAAGATTATGCAAAGACAATACTTACTATTAGATATTACATAAAGAGAATTGGAACACACTTCTAAATAGCATACATGGATGCACGTATCTGTAAACTGATAAGATTTATTTAGGAGAAAATTTAATAACAATAGTTTCAGTTAAAAGAGCCATGCTACACCATTTTTTATCTTCTTATTTATTCTGGTCGATTTTTCCAACTGTTTCATGTTTTTCCATTCTGAATTAGACAAAACTTGTTTTAATGTCATTCAGAAAAAATTACACATTCTAATGTTATATTTGTTGAGTTTATAAAGTAGATTAAACTCTTGGACCCTTAGGATCCTACTCGTGTTGAATCACTGTTTTGATTTTGGATGCATGAAAAACTGTCTTGTTTTGATATTGGACGCATGAAAAACTTTCATAATAGGAACAGGGAAAATTTTTTGATAAGCTTTCAGTCTCTCACAGGTCTCTTGAATCGTGGAAATACATTTTCTCCGAACTCCTCACATCTAGGTAATTGCTTGCATTGAAGAATCTCGATCACTTTATTACATGTTAATTCTTGTGAGGAAGCATAAAGCTACCTCAGTTCTTGGTAATGTAAAGCACAGGGAAAAATATTGTAATATGAAAATACAGCAATATTGCATTGTTTGAAATTGCCAAAGAAATTTTATGTTCCTTTATTGTCTTTCTGCAGGTTCTGTTGACAGCAGATGTTCCGACAACAACATGAGAATTTCCAATGATTTGTTGCATCAAAGTGATTTATCCTCGCAAAGATCCTCCATCCCTTCATTTCGAGGTGATATATTGAAAATAAATCTAAGTTTTACTTACAGTCTCTGCCCTTTCCTGTTTCCCCGACTTCCCTTCCTTAGTCTTGCCCAGCAAAAAATGTAATATGTCGTTCGTAAAGATTTCGTATATAAACTATAAGTTCAGGAAGAAAAAAATTTTGTGTTAATTGATTCTCTGAATTTTAAAGTAGTAATTAGTATTACTTTAAAAACCTTTCTTTAAACTATTGTTATTAAGAATTAGGTGGCATCAACCCTTAATGTTTTTCAGGGATTTGCCTTCCATTTCTTGTAACTCTTTCTCATTATTATCATTCATTGTTGCTTAAAAAGACAAGGAACCTGAAAATTCAGAATTTGCAAGAAACTGAATGCTTAACTGTTCCAATGCTGTCATATTCATTGAATAAATATATGTTAGGAAAAGTTCTCTCTTTTGCCAATCATCCTCTCCCACATGTCCCTATAGCTATGAGGAGCTGGCAACAGTGTTGGCAATAAGCTGTATAAGGCATATTCTGTTTTCCTGTCTTTGCAGATTCAATTGACAGCAGGAGTTCTAGCATCATGAACATAGTCTCCAGCGTCTCTTTCCAAGAGAATGAAGCAACGGAATTGAGTTTTGGTGATCAGTGGCTACAAAATAACAGGTAAATTTTGCCTGCTAAACGTATGCTCGACATGGTAGTCTTTTAAGGTTTAAGTCTTAAAGTTTGAACGTGTCTATAAAAAGTATTAGATATATAGGTCAAAAACTATAATATTCGTTTTTTAAATTTGGATATGCTTATGAAGTTTCTGACAGAAACCCGAAAGCAAAGGAGAAGTGTGACATTTAATATGGGATACGGCTACTCTTTAATGGAATTTATGCTACATAAGCTTGACTACAGGTGGAACTAATTCTGAGTCAATCTTTTCCATTATTATATCTAACAAAAGACACGTAAAATTCCGATTCCCATTTTAGCAATTTCAACACTGTCTTTTCACATTGCTGTCAATACTGTATGAATCTGGGGTTCAGAGATGATATGGAATGTACTACATATAGTAAGGAATTGATAGTTTCTAATCTTCGCACTGTGGTTTTCTTGCAGTCATTTTTATACCTTTGGTGAAGAAATGTCTGCACGTGGTATTCGCGTATCAAGGAATGGAACAGCAAGTTTATTATCACGTCAAAATTCCAGGGCGCGGGAGTGCCATGATGTTCTTTTGTATTTTGGAATAGTGGATTTTTTTCAAAATTACAATGTGGTCAAGCGAATTGAGCATGCTTACAAGTCACTGCAGTTCGACCGAAAGATGATTGCAGCCATAAATCCCAAAGCATATTCTTCTCGCTTTCAGGATTTTCTTAGTGACATATTTAAAGCAGATGACTCTCTCCTCTGAGCTCACAAACATTTACGCTTTCAGAACATTTACAATATTTATCCTGAGGGATAACTATACACGAGTAAGCTAATGATTCTCTATCAATTGCTTGTTGGTTAGCTGATGAAACTTGATAATTGTATCCCTGCTACAAATGTATGATGCATTCATGCTGCAAAGCCATGATGAATTTTCCTGTCAAAATTTTCTGCATTTGAATCAAATTTATACTGGTTTATACTTTTGGACTAATTTCACATGTCCTATGCTAAGATTAAAAATATAAAAGACCTTGTGAAAATCGTTCAATCCCATTTGGTCAAGGTCGGGTCAAAGATGAAGCATCGATCCGTCCAAATTTATGGGTTGCTTGGGTCCCAGTGGCACAGCAGCAAGCTTGAGGGGCTCTTCTCAAGTCTCATGGACCTAGTCTTAATAAAATATTAATGTCATCTCAACCCTAAAACCATGCTTAATATGTACAAAACCTAACTGATGAATGTACAAATTTGTGCTTTGCAGGATGCAGATAAAGATCAATATATGCAAGGAATGAATAGATGTTTGAGTATGATTTCGCTCAACCGTAGCATGTAAATAAGGACTAAAGAAATGGTGCTTTATGCATGGAAGACATCAATGACTAACCATGAAGACAAATCTTCTGTGAGACTGAGAGTTATTCCTTAATTACTTGAAAATAAAGTGTGTTCGAAATTCGAATGTGTTGCTTCTGCACACCAACTAAGTTCTAATATGAGAAGGGATCGTTGCTGTTAGCCTATTACCTAAGGAATTAGCTTCTGATAAATGAAGTATTCAAATGTACAATGTTTGGCATTCTAAAACATTCCAATTTCTGGTATAAATTAGTTTGGCATGCATTTTCCCCTTGCAATAATGGCATATGTTTGTACCAAGCTTTTCCATGGTGTAACCTTAGAGACCACATAAATCCCCATCTTGACTTTTGATGGTTTCGGTTTGAAAATGATTCCCGATGTCTCTCTACAAGCGAGAATGCGCACAAGCGCTTGTCGCAGTGATGAAAAATAGAAGCTAGGGCCGCCCCTGACCCAACAAACAACGCATAGATTGAGTTAAAGAGCAATTCTCGACCTTTTTAGACTATTGGCCTCTTTGAGGCGGCACAGATTCATGCGAGGATAAGATAAGATCAATAAACCCATGGTAACCAAGGCACTTCTAAACTAGATCATATATATGATCACGCCTACAATTACAAATTAAGAACCCACAAATTGAGTTAGAAAGAGCTACTACCATTTTTAAATTCTAGATTAAGAACCCACAATAACTAAATTTTTTTATTCAAAATTATTAAGATTTGAATTTTAATAAAACTAAGAGTTTAACATTTTATTAGCAGATTGTTACTATAGATGTTGTTTAGTTGTTGTTACCATCGACAATGCCTTTTTCTTTTTTTTATTTTTGATTGATCGAGGCAAAATCAAATAAGATTAGCTCTTTCAATTAAAAACACAATTTGTTATGATTTTGCATGGAGCAGTGAGAAACACGTGCTAAGAAAAACTATGTGACAATAAAACACTCACCAACGAAATTTAGATGAACAAACATTCACTCATTCATGTGCCATCAACTTGGTTGGCTGAGTGGTTAGGATTATATGTCGAGCATTATATGTGGAATGTGGTGAACTTATAGAGTAAAATTGCATGAGCTTTAGGACCACATTCGATTGATAGAGAACTACTTTAAGTGGTCCATCTGATCTCTTCTTATCATTCTTGTGGTCCTCTTGTTTCCCCATATTTAATTACGCTATTGCTTTGTGCACTGCCTTCAATTTGTTATTGACTAGTAAAACGACTGTTTCCATGTAAATTTTTAAAGATCTCGAATACAAAGAGCTAGCAGCGAGTGCAAATATAGTCTTTGTTTAAGGGTGGCCACCAGGCTGATCATCATCTTTGTTCCAACACTTTGATTTTTTTTGTCAGGCTTTTTTTTTTTACCATGTCAGGTTTATTTTGTTCTATGTCTAAGAACACTTTACTAGCATCCCAACAATTTTCTTTTTCAGAATTACATATGTTTTCCATGTATAAACTAAGGGTTGGGCGTATATAAGAATTACAAACGATTTCTCAAGTCTTAACACCTTGAGCAAAACCTATATAAGATTGAAAAACACAAAGGAACAAATGGAACAGAAAACAGTTTTTGTTACACGAGCAGATATACAGGACATGGACCACAAATTTGGTAGGATTGGCAGAGATAATGCTGGACAGTTTCGTACAAATGGCTTCATCAGCTAAGCTGTGGATAAAAACCCTTCGTTGGAAGCTGGTGCAGCAGCAAAATAGAGGAAGAGGAGCAAGCAGGTTTCTTGGACCCTACCTGCGATAATAATATCGCTTCGCCATAGCTTTAGGTAGATGCTCCTGGTGTCACGCGTTCCACGAGCTCGTGTTTAATAAAGCTTAACCACGATCTTTTATTCTTCCCTATGAATATTTTAGCCATCATTGCTTTGCACTTGCAAATTTTCAGTTAATCCTTGCTCATAATATTTGGGTTTTAGTTAACACTCAATTCTCTTCGATGGCATGGTTTATTGAGTAGTATTGATGCTCGGACTCGTACAAATTCAAGTCTTCTACTTAGCTTTCAATAGCATTTATGTTAGATCTGAAATTACTTTTAAAGATATCATTAAATAATTTTAAAATTTAAATTTTTAGACATGCAAATTTTTTTATTTTTTTATAAAAAATATACATTTAAATTTAGTCATAATTGATTTGACATTTTTTCATTTTTATATTCAGACTATCATTGATAGTGATGAAAAAAATCAACTGCCATAATTTTATCTAATCTATAATTTGTAGATTTGGTCATTAATCCTGGACTAGATTTCTTTTCTTTTTTTTAATAATAATACTTAACAGTATCATTTTTCTTTTTAATAATCACAGTATAATTCAAAGTTTTTCCTTGAAGGATAAGACAATTAAATTTCATTCTTTCATATTTGGCTTTAAAAAAAGGCTTGAACTCCATATTTCTTTTGGATGAATGTAAACTATAGCTAGCTTTAGCCTAGAGACGGGGTGCCCCAGAAAGAAGGGAATCCAAAGGCGATAAATAGTTGAGGAACAAGAAAAGAAAAACGAAGAGAGAGAAAATAAAGCAGAGAAAGACCCGCACATGCCCACAAATAGCGATGAAAATTCGAGTCTTGAGAGGCTGACCAAAACTGTGAGGAGAGACAAAGCAGAGAAGAGCATGAGCGAAAGCCATGAGAAATCCTTGAAAAAACAAAGGAGAAATAGAATGGGAGACGCAAAAGCAACCCACAGTTTGAAATTTTGAAGAGAGGAAGAGAGAGAGAGGAAAACAAAGATGGAGAAAACAGAAAAAGGTGTGGAGAGAGAAGGAGAAAAGCAAGAATTCATGGTGAAAAAGTCGAAACGCGGGATCCTGGTAGGGAAAAGAGCTGGCCCCTCTACTCCTTCACCTACCTGGAGACTTGGGTTCTCTTCTCAAAATGCCACTACTCAAGACTTCCTCCAACTTCCTACTGGACCTTCTATATCTGCTAGAAAACTCTGTGCCAACCTTTGGGAACTTCAACCTCACTACCCACTTCCCAATATGCGCAAAGGAACTGCCAAGCTTCGCCTTCACAATTTTAAAGACAAGGGTTTTGACGCTGATGTTGATCCTCCTGATACTTCCCTTGATCAGGTAGCGCTTTCTTTCTTACAAATAAAGACCCAAAAAGAAAAAAAAAATGAAAGAACTATTTGTTGTTTTTAAAGTTTTAGTATAATTCTTTGGTGGTTCTCTGGGTTGTTTTTTTATTTAATTTTTTATGTTAAGTGGGGTTCAATTTTTTTTTTTTGTTTATGTATCTTTCTTTGTAAAAAAAAAAAAAGCTTTTGCCTTTTTTAGATTCTAATTGTTTGGTGGCTTAACTGTTCCTTGTCTTGTGTTTCTTGATGTTCGCTGTCCATCTTAATTGTTTCTTTTTCTTTCCTCTGCTTATTCTTTGCTGCGAATGATGAAAAATTTGCCTCTTTTTGACACTTAATAGTTTAGATGCTTAGTTGTCTCATATCTGGTTTTTCTGGTGCTTCTGTGGGGCGCACACCTATATTCTGGTGTGAAACATACTGCTTTTTCTTTCCCTTTCTTTTTCTTCCTTTAAGTTTCATTGTCAGTTGCTTTAGTCACCATTTCTAGTGCTTCTCATCTATGGCCAGTTTGAACTGAAATGCTATTATTTTGTATTAATGTGGTCTACATATTTTGGGTTGTGTAATAGTTGAAGTTTATATAGTGTGTTTAGTGTAGCTTTAATCAATCACTAAACAGGTAATGTTGTTGCAGTAAGAGTTGCTTTCTTTGCTGCTTGATTGGTTAGTTCATTGGCTAATTTTTCTTGGATATAAATTTTATATTTTAAATGGTTCTTTTGCTGATTATCTTGTTTGGAATATGTGTTTGAGATGCATTGCCTTTTAGTTGCAACTTGCAAACTACTAATCAATTTCTCTTCTCTATTTCTGGCTTGTTGAACTTGGTCCATTTAAGGGACATCTGGCCACATGTCTCCCAATTCTCTCATGTTTTATCGAAGGGACGCATACCTTTGTACTTCTATTGATAATTAATCTCTACCCTGAATCTCATGTCAGCCAGCAAGTGCAAGTAGCTTGAGGAGGCATATTGCAGCATCACTGATGCAACACCATCGATCAGTTGAAAGAAATGGTCATGCTCTACAGCCTGTATCTCCAGCAAGTTGTGGAAGCTCACTGGAGGTCAACATCTATCCACAGTAATCTGTAGATCTTAATACTAACAAAGCTATTTCTTTTAATGAAGGACATTGCCTTTTCCTTTCAATAGAAACAGATCATGTTCCATTGAGCTTCCAAGTACATCATCAAGTACATTACCAAAACCTCCATACACTTCCATGAGGTGTGAAATACTGTTAGTGTTGTGCACTATTAAGATGCAACTACTAGACTAAGTCTTCCAACAACAGATAATCTTTCTAATTTGAGATAAAAAATGATAATTCTTTTAAATTGGAGATCATATATAAAAGTTATGTCGACTATGCATACTACTAGTTTATAATTATTTGTGGCTAAATTTCCTGCTGGATCATATGATTTTCAGTGACTGCCATAATGATTAAGTTGATTTTTATTGATAACTTTGCACTTCTTCTCTTTTTATATTTTTAATTTTTTTTGGTTATGCTTCCTCATGCAACAGATTGGCATACAGCTATTTTACTGCAACCGTATTGCTTCAATAGATTCATATTTGCATTTTCTGCAGGTGGCTCCATATAACCCTGCAATGACACCATCTAGTTCTTTGGATTTTAAGGGAAGGGTTGGGGGATCAGGTTATAGCCTTAAGACATCAATGGAGTTGCTCAAGGTACTCAACCGAATCTGGACTCTTGAAGAACAGCATGTATCAAACATGTCATTGGTAAAAGCTCTGAAAATGGAAGTGGATCATTCTCGGGCCCGGATCAAAGAGTTGCTGCAAGAGAAGCAAACAGAAAGGCAAGAAATGGACAATCTGATGAAGCAAGTTACAGAGGATAAACTTGTTAGGAAGAACAAGGAGCAAGATAGGATCAAAGCTGCCATTCAGCCAGTGAGAGATGAGCTAGAAGGTGAGAGGAAGTTAAGAAAGCGCTCTGAAATCTTGCACCGAAAGCTAGTTCAAGAACTCTCTGAGGTAAAATCTTCTTTTGCTAATGGATTGAAAGAATTTGAGAGAGAGAGAAAAGCACGAATTCTACTGGAGAATCTATGTGATGAATTTGCTAGGGGAATAAGAGAATACGAACAGGAGGTGCGGTTCCTAAAGCACAAGCATGAGATTGATCAAGTTGATGGGGAAAACCCTGAGCGGCTAATTCTCCATATTTCAGAGGCATGGCTTGATGAGCGGATGCAAATGAAGCTAGCTGAAGGTCAAACTGATCCTGCTGAAAAGAATACAATTGTTGACAAGTTAAGCCTTGATATAGAAACTTTTCTTGAAGCTAAACGCTCCATTGGATCAAGCAAAAGTGAACTTAAAGAGAATTGCTCACACCGACATTCTTTAGAGTCCTTTCCGTTAAATGAGGCTGTTAGTGCACCTCAGGGTGCAGCTGACGAAGAAGGATCCAGTAATAGTGACTCACAGTGTTATGAACTGAACAAAACTGCAAACAAAGTCCAAAACAAAGGGAGCTGTAAGCTTCATGGGAACAATGCTTTTGTAAGTCATCCTGAAGAATTACGAAATCCAATTTCGACAAGGAAAAAGGTGGGGTCTCAGGATGCCATCAAGGGCACTAAATTGCATGGTTTGCGAGGGCAGTTTGATGAACAAATGGCTACTGGAGAATGTATACATGATACAAGATATAAACGTAATGGAAACCATGGATTGAGCTCAAGTCATGTGCTTGATAGCTTAATCAGAAATCCTTCATTGTCCTCAGAAGGTGACAAGGTTCATCCTGAGAGTAGCTTGAGGGAAGATTCATGTGTTCAATCTGTATTTAAAGGCCGTGCTAGTCCAGTTCGACAATGGGTATCAAAGTTGAAATCTCCAGATTTTGAAAAATCTGATTCTTGTCTGAAATTGCCTCGGGGTGTTAAGGAGAATACCTTGAAAGCAAAACTACTAGAAGCAAGACTAGAAAGCCAGCAGTCCCGCGCAAAAGCTTCCAAGGGGTCCACATAGGTTGATGTTAGATGTGGCTGGTGGAGACTCTCGATGGCGAAAGATCTTCCCTGAGAGCAGAGACGGAGGATTATGGTGCTAGTTTATAGAGATTGTACATAACTTTTTTTTGCCTGTAATATTGGAATTAAATATGTAATGAGAAATTAAATGTTATCGTGCGATAGCATGGATCAACTAGAATGCTGCTTCTTCATAACTTGATTACCATCATCGCCATCCAGTCTTTCTAGATTATAACATCTGCAAAAATACTCTTCAGCTGTTAGTTTCTCGGCTAGCCACGCTCATAAATGGCCACTCGTTCAGGAACCATTTGTTTCTAGAATTACTATGATCTGGTAATGCCAAAGAGATGAAATAGTTAGCGCATGAAATTGGTTTATTATGACAATTTCCCTCTTTCAGTGATTGCTGACGTTCGTGCGGATTTTATAAATTGTTTGATAACCAGTGCGCGGATATATTCGGTGCAGCATCTTATTAATCAAAAACATCTGAAATTTGATGGTATTTTGTTGCTTTTGACCGTGAGAAAAAGAAAAACATTGATGTAATCCACCATTAAACAAAGCAAAAGCGGTTCAGATCTGAACTTCTAGAGTTGTAGTGGTACTTTCTGTGCATATAAAAAAAAATACAAATCCAACCGAAAGGGAAGAACTTTACTTCTCTCTGAAATGACCCAACATCCATCGTCAACAAATAAAGGCACAAAAAATAGTTCTAATCATTTAAAATATAATATAATAATATAATACGAATAAAAAATATAAAAATAATATAATTTAAAATAAATTTATAAATAAATTTAATAAAATTAAAAAATTATATTTTATATTTTTATATAAAATATTTTACACGATAACATAAATTATTAAATTTAACAAAAAAAATCAAATCATATTTATTTATTTTTTAATTGATAACATTGCATTTTTTATGAAGTGACAGGAGCATTTTCATATGTCACCATTTTTTTTAATTTGTTTACAAATTTCTTTCTTGTCTACTTAAATAGCTCGGACTGGGATAGCTGTGCATTTTAACATTTTGTTATCTTTTTATGAAGTGGTTCACTCTGCTAAAGAATATACTACAACTTTCGACAACTTTCGACTTGGTGATGGATATTGGTTACTTCAAAGTTTAAACCCCTGTTTCAGTAATCAATAGTGCCTTCTAAGGACAATATTGTTGGGGTTTTTAATGGTCCAAATAGTATATGAATTTTTTTTTTTTGTAAAATTTTTTTATAAATAATTAAAAATAATTTTGATATTTATGTTTATTGGATATATTAAATTAATTTAATATTTCCAATATTACATTAATTTAATGATGTTTTTATTGTTTCTTAATGATTTTATCGTTTATTTATAAATATAAAAATTAGATAAACGTTAAGATAAATTCAATATATTTTTATATCTTTTTATTGCTCTCATTTTAATTTTATTTATTTTGATTTGTGCATTAAAATATAAATCTAAAAAATACTTCATGCTTTTTGTCTATAATCATATTTATTTTTTTTCGTTTTAGAAATATCTTAAGATTTTAGCTCAACACAAACAAATATTTTTCTATAAAATTGCTAGAATTTAAAACATATATAATATAATGTGAAATTTGATCCAAGAAATTAGAAGAATAAAAGAAATACATGAGTATAATTTTTTTTAATTAAAAAAATCATAGATTTTGGAGATAAAAGTTTAAAATTGTTTAATATCATTTTTTTAAAATTGATGTATTAATTAATTGAATTAAATTTTAAATTTTACATAAATATAATTTTATTTAAAAAATATTACATCAAAATATACTAAATTACCTTATTTATTATAGAAATTTGAAACTCGACAAGAATCTAGTAAGAACTTTTGAAAAAGGAAATCTTGACCCACATTAAACTTTAAATGTTTTCAAATCCTAATCACCTCTGAGTAACGAAAAGAAGAGTTCTTAATCAGCAACAATGGAGGTACCCCAGTTAGAGAGAAAACAAAACCTCATTAGCCGGTGCACGAACTCAGAGAAATTGTTGGCCAAAATACTAATTGTTTAAATAATAAAAAAGAAATCCCACCTTGTTATTTTGCTAATAGTGGAGAATGATAACTAGATACCAATTCCACTTTGCAGTTTAAAGCTCTATTGCTTGAAGAAGAAATTTTCTTTCATCATTGGGACCCGCAAATTTTGATCAGAAATCAAACTAATTATACAATGAAAACATGTCACACCAACCAATAATAATAACTCATGATTGAAAAGATACCCCCCATTACCACTAATTTCGCCTTAATCAATTTGTAGACAAGAAAATCTTATTCTCTGATTCTCTGTAAATTACAATTTCGAAGGCCCAGAATTTTCTGGTTCCTCATGTTTTGGCCTATAAAATGAACCCCAATTTCTTTCAGTCTCACGAGTCTCAGCTTCCTCACTTCCAACTACATAAAAGCAGTACTTACTATAAATAGTAGTAGCATATAATATAATATGATTATAGTGATTTTTTCCTTTTTTGGTGATTCGAGTGCATAAGAGGGACCCAATTACGGAGCTCTCCGAACTCCAAACCTGAAAGGAAGTGATGGTAGGCTACGGCTGCTAGTTCATGAATGCCCCTGGATGCGCAGAGGAACCGGCAATACTGAGGCCAGGGTGCGCAGGCTGAGGGTTTGCATGAACTGGGAGACGTGGTTACCTTGATCCTTTTGGTATTGGAGTGAAGGGAGCTCCGCTGTTCTTTTTCCCTGTTTTCCTGACCTTTTTATTTTTTTTTCTAGTGCTTGAGTTATTTTTATAATTAGCAATTAGAAAAATTTTTTTGCTTTTCTTTGGTATGTCTAATCTCATGTTTTTCCCTCAACAAATTTGCAGGTAAGAACTTTGGTCCATGATAAGAAGCAAGCACTGTTGACTCCACAGAGAGAAGGGCACTCTTTTTTCCATGTGTTCAGTTTTAGACTTACTTTTGTAGTTAATATTAACACTCTGTTCAATCTACCAACTTCTATTGTTGTCATGACCCAAGATTTTGAGAAAATTTCCCCTTTGTTTTGAAAGTTGGAGACAATCAGAGAATAATTGATTAAATGTAATGAAAAACTAACTAAAGGAAACTAGTAATCACCGGATTTCTTTTGCACTGAATAACCAATGTTTTCTTTTTCAGGCGCTGATTTGGGCCGCCTGTCGTCATATAACTATGTTACGGATCGAGATTAAGTTTCGAATTCGTATTTTTGTGAGGTATTATTCGTTTTAATTTTTTGATCTCTTAATTTTATCTTATAAAAGACTTTTCTTATAAGAAAAAAAAATGATGTGAATATTTTTATACTCTAGTGATTATTTTATTATGATTGATATAAAATTCAAGATTCTTTTCGTGACGTTCTCGTCACGGAGATTGATTATCCTGTTTATTTTTCTTAAGGTGTTTGACGTTGATCGAATGGTTTAGAGTTGGTTCTGATATCATTTGTCACAGATCGAAACTTAAGTTTCGAACTAACGCGATTCCGAGACTCAAGTATTCATGCATCCAGCGTCTTAGATTAACTTACCTGTTACGATTTATATCTTTGTGAGGTATTATTCGTTCTGATCTGTTTGATTATACTGTTTTATCTTATAAAAAATATTTCATAAAAAAAATAATATAAATTTTTTTATATCTCAATGATCTTTTTATTATATTTGATATAAAATTTGAGACTTTTTTGAAATATGTGAGAATTACACTTAGCTACTTAAATAAAAATTCCTTCCGATCAAAATTGGGCATTGAGATATTTGCATGACACTTGCTATCTTTAGAACCACAGAAATAGAAGCTAGCTTTATATATATATATATATTTTTTTTTTGACTTTTTTGTCTTTGGGACTATGCTTTTGTACCTTTTATCTTTTGATTTGTATTAAAAAATAAAAATTGTCAATAATAACGACAGAAAAGATTTTTTAAAATTTTATTTTTAGGTTAATATATAACTTAATTTTTAAATTATAACACGTTTTACCATTTAATACTTATAAAAAGATTTATAATATTTAAATTTTATTTTGTCATCTCATTTGCATAAAATATCATATTTGTTAATAATATGTTGATATTGTAAAAAATTAATAAATAAAATAATGACAAGTGGTGTATTTTTATTAACTAATATTTCATCATTATTTTATTTAACATTGTTAAATTATTAGTATAAAGTATTCAACAAAAGTAAAGTTAAGATAAAGATATCAAATGCAAATTTTTTATAAATATAAAATCCTAAAAAATAATATAATTTAGAATTCATTTTATTAATTAATCTTTTACTTTTTTTTTTGGTCAAAAGAAAAAATGCCCTTCAGCAGCCTGAAAGCTAATTTTTCAAAATGACATAATACGTTTCACTAACACGTAGGCAGAAAATCCCTCTCAGAGATTCTCTACATCATTGAAATTTAATAGTCCAGATCACACTAATTATTGTAAAGCTAGCCCATGTACCCATATAAGGGTTGAGGAACGAGGGACCATTTTGAGTCTAATCAGTGTTAAATCGGGTTTTGGTGGCTCCCAATGGAGCTCTCAACACCTCAACCCTGAAAAGAGGTGATGGCATAATGGCTACAGCTGCTAGTTCATGGATACCCCTAGGCTGTGAGCCGTGGACATCGTGTGGCCCGTGCAGCCTAAAGGTTTGCATGAGCTGGGAGACGTGGTTGCCTTCATCTTTTTGGCATTGGGGTGAAGGGAGCTCCTTTTGCTTTTTCTAAGTTTAGTTTAACGCCCTTTTATTCATTTCAACAAAAATTTTACTACATTTCCTCTCTCTCTCTTTCTTTTTTTCTTTAATTTTTATTAATTTCAACAAAAATTATGCTCTACTATTCCTTAGTTGATATGTTTATGAAAGATTATACTCTTTTTTAATTTTTTATTTTTAAATGTATTAAAATTAATTTTTTACAGTATTTCCTACTTTTGTATATTTTAAATTTTAAATGTCTTTACTTTTTTATTAAAATATGAAACATCAAATTTATAAAAAAATAGTTGGTCAAAAAATTCTATAAAAATAAAATTTTTAATATTATATTCATTAAAATCATTCTTTTAGATTTCGTAAAAATTTGTGAAATGGAGAGAGTATGTAATTAAAAATTTAGATTAATTTATTTATGTATGTAAAACGTCTTGCATCATTTATTTCAACTGTTGCATGTTCAGGATTGATGACAATTAAAATGCATGACTAATTACAAACTACCAGCGGAAATTGGCTTTCATGGCTGGCTTCAAAGTACTTCGTTATAACTCTTTCAATTTCCAAGGCTTTGGTCTTTGAGAAGTACATTGCTAATTAATTAATGGTAGTAATTAGCTTTACTTGACTCTTGCAGGTGGCAGTTGTGAATAGGGTTGGAATCAGAATTTCAGATTTTTTTTTCTTTGGTGAGACTGAAACACAGATGTCTCAAATCTATCAATTGCATGGCCATGAGCAACCATGTATAGAGTATGTGACATAATAATAATGAATGTATTTGTTGAAGGTTTACACTTGCATTTTTTTAACATAAAAAATCATATTTTTTAATAAAAAAATACATATAAAATTTAAAATTACTGAAATGTTAAAGATAATTGCATAAGAACTAAAATTTGAATTTCAAATGCTACAATTTCAATTGATGCCCAATGGTCCAATACAAGTGATCGGTTGAGTGATAATATTAAAAAATAATCCAAATTTCCTAGATGTTCCTTTTCAAAATTAAAGAAAAAATTTAGTAAGGGTAGATAGCAGATGGCAATAGCTTTTGCTCTGCTGTCTGCTTTACCGATCACTGTATCCCATAACTAAACTATCCCACAAACGATCATCTCTGATTCCCTCTTTCCACGATACACCAAATCTAGCCTTATGGATTTCCGTTACTGTCCCCATCAATGCCTTTTTTTATTGCCAATGGTAGTTATAATTTATGTACTAGGGATTTGTTTTCCTACGCTTATCTCGCTCCTGTATATAAATACCTCCGTATGACCGTAGCACTCCATCACTCTCCTGGGCTTCTCTTTTGGCTTGGACCGCATTGAGTCAGGACCACCAAATTTAATGTTTACATTGGTGTGAGCTTTACCTACCCTAAGTCTAGCATTTAACAGGGACTGCCTAGCTACTTCCACCTCAAACTTTTTTATGAGGGGTGCTTTAATCGGTGATTTTTAGACTTTGGTTAATTGAGGTTTTTTATTGTTTTGAATTTTTTTTTTTGGGTGGAGGGCCTTGGGAGGTTCGAATGGAGCTCCCTTTGTCCAAAACGATTCATGGTTACCTCTGGGTTGCGCTGGTTAACAGTGATGTATGCGCAGCTCAAAGGTTTACATGATTCAGGAGACGTGTTGGGAGCATCTATCACGTTTAGCCGATCAGCTTATTGAAATAATGAAGAATTTACAAGCAAAGAAGAAGAATAATAAGGCGACCAATAAGGCCTTTTAGTTGAAGTTGAACGCCATTAGTTTGCTCAGTCAGTCGGTTTTAGGTCGGCTGTTTATGTATTCAACTTTGCGCGTAAAACAACGTGAGCATTTGCTCGTTTGCCAGGCGTTCAATTTTGTACATATATATTATTTTCTTGTATGTCTTCTTATGTTCATATGCTGTTTCATTATTGACTACGTGTTGAAAGAATATTTCTTCTTCAATCTAAATCAATTTTTTTTAATAAAATTATTATATTAAATCAAATAAAAAATAACCAACAAATCAAGAAATAATCAAACAAATTTAATATAAAATTTAATCAAACTCACACACAATATATCTTAAATCTAAAACCTAATAATTTAATAAATTTTTTTCTTGTCAATAAATCAAAACTTCATTCAGTTATGTTTAATTTTATTTTTTTATTTTTTTATTATAAGCCGATAAAGTTTCAAAAAAATTTAAATTAAGAAATATCGAATCCCAAGAATATTGTTAATCGATATTCTAATTTTATGCTAAATATTGGACCCGTTCAGCCATTCTCATATACGCTAACTTTTAACGTGTTTAACTACTAAACTATTTTTATTTTTATTGACAAATTACGGAATTAGTACCATCGCTTATCTAGACGTATTAAAAACGAAAAGAAATAAACCGTTTGGTAAACAAGATACGAGCAAACTGACCATGTTATCAACCAAAAATAAAATATTTTAAACGGGGAACAGCAGCCGTTACTAAACTTAAAACGAAATGGAAGAACAATTACCATTTACCAAAAAAAAAAAAAAAACCGATGAGCTTAATAAACAAAAAAATTTCGGAGCCAACCACCACTGACCGACTACTTCCCCTCAATCAACTATAGAATAGCTATCAACTGCTTCATAAGCTCTCGGCCCCAAAAAAAAAAAAACCGAAATAAATGAAATAAAAAGCTTAAAAAAAAAACGAGTACAAAAGGCTGCAAAGATTCTTAATCTTCAGTTATTATGGACATTTACAGTTTGGGCGTTACCAAATGGAGCACCTAAATCCATCTCCTCCCTTGGTTTAGGTAACGCCAGCTAATCATTCCTAGGGTTTCCTTCCTTTTTGTTTAGCTTCTCTTTCGTTGTTTTCTTGTTTTATTTACTTTTGTTTTGAGATAAAAAGGGGGGTAAAAGAGATAAAGAATAGAGGTTTTATGTGGGGATTGGAATGAGAAATCAATTGAATTCGGATTCCATCTCCTCACTTGGTTTAGGTAACGCCAGCTAATCATTCCTAGGGTTTCCTTCCTTTTTGTTTAGCTTCTCTTTCGTTGTTTTCTTGTTTTATTTACTTTTGTTTTGAGATAAAAAGGGGGGTAAAAGAGATAAAGAATAGAGGTTTTATGTGGGGATTGGAATGAGAAATCAATTGAATTCGGATCTGTTTGACCCGAGAACGGAGATGGACTCTGACTATTTGCGTGGGGCCTCTGCCTCCGATGGTGATTTCGGTTTCGCTTTCAACGATAGTAATTTCTCCGACCGACTTCTTCTGATCGAGATTATGGGTGGCCCCCCCGGCTGCCGCCCTGATGGAGAGGGTTGCACCAGTATCGCCGATTGGGCCCGCCACCGCAAAAGGCGCCGAGAGGATATCAAGAAGGAAAACGGTTTGTTCCACTATTTTGCTTATCAATATAACTATTTCCTTTCCTTTTTTTTTTTTTTTTTCCATTTCTTCCTTGTTAAATGTCTCTCATTGCTACCGTTTGGTTAGCTGAGAAAATGAAAGAAAATAGAAAATTGAAGCCTATTGTTTAATTTTAAAAGCTATTCTTCGTGGACCTAAGTTGGAAAAGAGAAAAAAAAAATTCAGGCTTTACTTGTTTTGGGAAAATTTTGGGGAAAATGAAAATTTTAAGAAGAATAATATTGTTTTTAAAAAAATATAATTTAGACACTTAATAAATTTTTATTAGGAAATTTACTTGTTGAAAATTTTGTGAATTAAAGATTGTGCTGAAGATAGCTTTTCTTCTGCATGGTCCTAAAGTTAGTTGTTCTCTTCCTGCCGAATGACATACCCTTCAAGATCATAGAACTTGAAGGTTAAAAAAGAGATTGAAAGCTGATAGCCTGATATAATGGTGTTAGACAGCTATTTCAAAGAGATGAGATTTACTCATTTTAGCATATAAATCTATTCATAATATTTTGTGGTTGTCTTGCGTGTTTTTATCCTGTGTTGTCAGGGGATTTGATTCCTGATTTATGGTGTTCCCTGCATATGGATGCTTATTCTTTGTATCTGTATGTGTCTTGTATATGAACATAGTCGGTTTTATAATGTAGGCTGGTTTTAACGGTTTTTGTTTTTCTTTTTTTTTTTCCAGTTTTGGATCTTAGTTTATGTCCTGAGGAGCAGATTTTAAATGGCAACCAGCCTGATATGGATGATGGTGTGGGCTGTGAGAATCAAGATGAGGAAGCAGTGGCAATGGTTGAAGAAACACTATCAGGTTTTTATGTTGTTTAGATAATAGACTATAAGGTTTATTTACTGCTTATATTTATTTTTACGCTCAAAAGAATGGAAGCTTTTAATCAAGCAAGTTTGCCAAAGGTCTTCCAAATGTTTGTGTTTTTTAGTGAATAAAAATTGAGCAAAATACAAAACTGTTAGAAGATTATGGATATTTACAATTTATCTGAATAAAGGAGAAGGAAGTTTCTCTATTTTGAATTAGTATCATTAACAGAGGATTTTAATTGTTCACTTTAAATTCTCACTCCTTGATGACCGTGTATCACTTGGCTCTTGGTTTTTGCAAATTTGGCATAGTACAAATTTTGAACTAGCTTAGAACTTTTGTAGGTGATGAGGATGCAAATAGCAATGATTCAAACTGGAGCATGGATTGTTCTACAATTCTGAGAGTTAAAACGTTGCATATTAGCTCTCCCATTTTAGCTGCAAAAAGTCCATTCTTCTACAAGGTCAGAGATCTTTTTTCTTTATAAAAATTATTTTAAAAAGAAGGATTGTGTTTCTAGAATGTAAATATAGCTTGCCAGAATATTTGTCACCATTTATCTTTATTGGTAATTACTTATTTGTTCACTTGTTTATTGACTAATTGTAGCTTTTCTCAAATGGGATGAGGGAATCAGAGCAACGACATGTAACCTTAAGAATCAATGCCTCTGGTATGCATAAACTTGAATAGATATTTCTTGGATTCAAACAGGTGTGAGCAGTCAAAGTTAAATGACAATTCTTCACTTTTATGTACAGAGGAAGCTGCCCTCATGGAGCTTTTGAATTTTATGTATAGCAATAACTTATCTGTTACCACAGCTCCAGCTTTGCTTGATGTGCTGATGGCTGCTGATAAATTTGAGGTTGCCTCTTGCATGAGATATTGCAGCCGGCTATTGCGCAATTTGCCTATGACACCAGAGTCAGCTTTGCTTTATTTGGATCTTCCCTCAAGTGTATTAATGGCTGAAGCTGTCCAACCATTGACTGATGCTGCAAAGCAGTATCTTGCTGCTCGTTACAAGGACATGACTAAGTAAGTTCCTGTTCTGCAAGCTTCATGTTCTTTTTAACATGAAATTGATGGTTTTATTAGTCTGGCAATGAGGTTACATACCTTAACTAGTGGTAACTGCCTGTAAGATAAAAATTTAGATATTTGATAAGTTTCCAGATCTCCATCTTTACATACTCCTGGCAGTAATTTTTTTGAGCTCCTCTGATCCTTATAGTTTGAAAGTGCATTTTCAACATGGAGAATAAGCTTTAACGTTCTTTGTGAAAAGAAAAACTGGAAAGGTTTAATGCTATAGACTTGGGAAAACTTAAGGATAACTGGAAAGGTAATGTTAATGGCAACAGAACAAGCTGTGAATCTACTTCTCTCTCTTTCTCTCTATCTCTCTCTCCCCTTTTTTAGGTTAGTCAAAGTAGAAATAAGGCATATTTAGAAGTTCATGTTTATGCTTTTGGGGCACATTTTACCAGGTTCCAAGAAGAGGTAATGACTTTGCCACTAGCTGGGATTGAGGCAATATTGTTCAGTGATGATCTGCAAATTGCATCTGAAGATGCTGTGTATGACTTTGTATTGAAGTGGGCCAGGGCTCATTACCCAAAACTGGAAGACCGAAGGGAAGTGCTTGGTTCACGCCTCGCACGCTTTATTCGCTTCCCTTATATGACCTGCCGGAAGCTTAAGAAGGTGTTAACTTGTAATGATTTTGATCATGATGTTTCATCAAAGCTTGTGCTTGAGGCCCTCTTTTTCAAGGCTGAAGCCCCGCATAGACAGCGAAGCTTGGCTGCAGAGGAGTCTGCCACTTTGAGCCGTCGCTTTGTCGAGCGAGCTTATAAGTATCGACCTGTTAAGGTGGTGGAATTTGAACTTCCCCGTCAGCAATGTGTTGTGTACCTGGACTTGAAGAAGGAGGAGTGTGCAAATTTGTTCCCATCTGGTCGGGTTTATTCTCAGGCGTTCCACCTGGGTGGACAAGGTTTCTTCCTGTCAGCCCATTGCAACATGGACCAGCAGAGCTCATTCCATTGCTTCGGGTTGTTTTTAGGTATGCAGGAAAAGGGTTCCGTTAGTTTTACAGTGGACTATGAATTTGCAGCAAGGTCAAAGCCAACAGAGGAGTTTGTTAGCAAATACAAAGGCAACTACACATTCACTGGGGGCAAGGCAGTTGGCTACAGGAATTTATTTGCCATACCTTGGACTTCTTTCATGGCTGAAGACAGTCTTTACTTCATAAATGGTTTTCTCCATCTTAGGGCTGAGTTAACCATCAGGCACTAACCATCTCCTGTTGATGGAGTTTCTGTCCATTTACTTTAGCTGCTCTAACTCTTGTTTATTATTTTCGTTGTTATTTCACTTGAGCGGAGCAAAACTCAAGATGTACTAAGTAGAACAATGGGTTAGATGCTTCTTGTTTTGGAGATTTGAAGTATGATTAAAGATTGCCCCTTTTGTCTTGCACCAAAAATGGTGCTCAGAAAATGATCCAATGAGATACTGTAAATGGATGTGGACCATGTGATGAGTTGAAAAGTTGAATGTTATGGCTGGTTCCAGTTTAGAATTAAACCATTCTTCGGATCAACATTAATATAATTGTTTTAATATTTGATTCAGTAGTTAACAGTATGATTTACGTTTAAAGAGTAAAAGTTGAAAATTTTTATCTCAAATCTATATTATATAAGAGGCTAAACTACATAAAACTCCTTAAGTTTTAACAATAATTACAGTCAAAGACAGTAGTTCAAAAAACCCTACATCCCACCCTATAAAGATTACCTTTAACATCACAATGTGGTCCGACAGTTGGAATTTCGTGGAGACACCTGTTAGAATGGTGGCACGCAATCAAGTGAGGGACATGTGATACGCAAAACGCCCTTGATCAATGGCAAAGAAAAGATGCAGGTAGGGGGCTAAATAAGTGGTCGGAGATAGGGATGAGGAGAAAAAAGAGATAAAATTAAAAATTATTTAAAATTGTAATATTTAATTTAATCACAATTGATTTTTTATTTAATTTGAATAAAATTTAAATATTATATATATATTAAGTTTGAATAAGATTTTAAATTAGAATATAAAAAATAAAAATTAAATTAAATTATATATTTTTAAATTTTTATAAAATAAAATAAAATAATTATTATATATATAAATTTATTTAAATATATAAAAAATTAAAAACTAATAAAGTAAACTAATAAATTCTATTCAAATTAAATCAATTTAAAAAAATTATTTTCAATTTAAATTATAAATTATAATATTATATATTATTAAAAAAATAAATCAAATTCAATTTGATTTAAATCATTATTATGCCTTTACAAAACGCGTTTGATAAAATTCTTCAAAGAATTCAGATCAGTAGTCCTATTTCCCTATGATAAAAATCGAAATCCCGCTTAGTGTAAAAGGTCTCAAATTTTGCTGCGTCAGTTAGCCAACACTTCAAATCACATGTTTGTTACGTGAGTTAGCCAAACACTTCATTTAAAAGACCTTAACCATAAAAATAAAAATAAAAATAAGAAGCCAGAAAGAATAAAAGAATTGAAATTTGAGGTACCGTACAGATCACAAAATGTCACGTGATGTTTTATTATAAATAGAAAGAAGAAACATTAACACACCGTATTCCAATTTTGTTTATCAAGGGCAAGACCATCTTCAAATTAGAAAAGCGAGTTAGGGTTTCTTTTCTTTTTTTTTTTTTTTCAGCAGAGAGGAGCAATCGAAGCGAATCGAAGATGCCGAAGAACAAAGGAAAGGGAGGAAAGAACCGAAAGAGGGGAAAGAACGAAGCTGATGACGAGAAACGAGAGCTAATCTTCAAAGAAGACGGCCAAGAATACGCACAAGTCCTCCGCATGTTAGGCAACGGCCGATGCGAAGCCATGTGCATCGACGGTTCCAAACGGCTCTGCCACATACGCGGCAAGATGCACAAGAAGGTCTGGATCGCTGCCGGCGACATCATTCTCGTTGGACTAAGGGATTATCAAGATGACAAGGCTGACATCATCTTGAAATACATGCCCGATGAAGCTAGGCTTTTGAAGGCTTACGGAGAGCTCCCTGAGAATACGAGGTTGAATGAAGGCATTGCTGGTGGGATCGATGAGGAAGATGATGGCGGCGCCGATGATTATATTGAATTCGAGGACGAGGATATTGATAAGATCTAAAGTTTCTCCTTTTTTGGTTTTTCATATTTGGGATGCTAAATTTATCCAATAACAGTGCGTTTACCTTTAACTATATTAATGTTATTGATTTCTCTTGAAATTTGACGTGGATTTTTAGTTATTGATCTTGATTCTGATATTGGAATTGAGTATATGTCGATCTATGAGTTAGGCTGGTAGATTTTGAAATCTTTTCTGGCTATGTGCTTTAATTGTTGTCTTTTTTCTTCTGATAATTGGTTAATAATAATATTGATGATAGCTGTGACACTCTGGGTTTGAATTTGATTGTGGGGTGGCTTTGATTTGTGGGTTTTGTGGAAGTATTATGGTTGCTTTTTTTTTTTTTTTGGCATAATTTCACTGTTTTTATGATGCTTGATTATTCAACATTGTATTAAAGCATGTTTTGGGGGTAGAGAATTGAGGAATTCATGGATTAGATGTTCACAGCTTGATGCTCCTGTGTTTCACTCACGTTTTATATTCAATTTCATTTATTGATAGGTGATAGCCTAAAAACCATGCCCAGCTTCAACGACCAAGCCCTTTCTCATGTTTTACCCATTGCCTTCGCTAAGATAAAGTGTGCTACCTTTGACCTAAGTTGTGTAAAAATTTTGGCATTGTTTCTCCCGGCACCTAAGAATAGCTTCACCGTGAGTGTTATGAGAATGTTGATTTCTGGCGCCATCCTTGATATGGCTTTAGACATAACCATTACTGCGAGCTGGAAGGCTTTAATCACCCATTCTTTCACCATAACTAAATTGATCGGTGGTAATTTCGTGTGTTCTAGTGTATGAAATCATGCGTTAATCAACAATGAATGTTATTTATATATGGTTGTACCTCCACCTCTAGAGTAAGAGCTCTTGCCTGGTTCATACTCACAAGTCACAAGTTTCACTTAGAATGACATCCAGGCTATTAGATTCCTCCCCATAGGCATAAGGAAAAGAGTTCCAATTCAACTATGATTACATACTTAAGTTTAGCAAACCCATAAATCTATAGAGAAATTAATGTCAAGTCTTTGCAAGTTCGATTTGTTGCTTTTTCTGCACAGTTAATGAATATGAAGATGATAGCAGGGTGAGAGTCATTCAATCTTTTGTGGATTTAGTTTCTTAAACCATTTCCAGTCCTTAACTCGCACGAAAGAAAAATGAGAAAAATCAATAAGAGGACGTCAGGCGCCATATGAAGTTATTAATGTTTCGAATGCCATGGGATTCTTTAATGTGGAAAAGAACCGAAAGTTGTATAAAGTTTGTGATATTTTCTGTATGGCTCAAATTCTATTCTAACGCATGTTGCGCTAAGGGAATATGCTGTCTGGTATTTGCCAAGGTGGCGTTGGCAAAGGAAATATATTACATTCATTGTACATTTGAGTGGAGGAAACGACTTTCTCCACATCAACATGGCATATATATATAAAATGGGAATTATACCCATACACATAAAATTGACAAGTATTATTCCACGAATGGAGCAAATTAAAACTGACAAGAAATTCATACAAGGCAATCCTACAATTACGGGAGGCAGACGTCTCTTTTACAGGGTAGAAAGGGACCAAAAAGAAAATGATAGAAAACAAATGAGCATGCCAATCTTGTACATCTATTCATTACCAGCAATCTTCTCCTTCAGTGCCTCAATATCTGTAGCTAGTTCTTTCCTGCTTGACTGGGGAAATAATCATTTTGTTAGCACTTGGTTTATGGTGTGCATGTATATGATTATTCTTATTCTAAATAGTCTGAAACCAACAAGCTTTTTAATCGTAAATAAAGCTAATTTTAAGATTTCAAAGCGTGCATGTTTAACTCTCAAAAGTTGGTTCAAATACATCATCATCTCTTCATGCACATGTAAATCTCTCTTAGTTCTTTCTGAGAATGCAAATTAAACACTGTAAGTGTTTGAATGATGTGTAATGCAGAATGGCTCACCCAGTATTAAGATTCATGGGGCTCTACATAATGAAAATCTTACCTTGAAGAGAAGGTATCTGTAGACAAACCATCCTGTATATCCAAGTCCAACCAATTCCATTATCTTTGGAAGCTGGTAAGCACAGACAATCATTTCAGATTGGATCAGCGATTTAATCCAACGGGAAGACACGTAGCAAATTCATTGCTGATTATTAATCAGGAAAAGCTAATCTATTTAAGAATATGGCGCCCCGTCATAAGAATAATAAAGTATTCACTGTTCACTCACCAGGGGGACAGAGTTAATAGCACCAACAAGAATAGATGATAGCCAAACAGCAACTATTGCCCCACCACCATAAAGAATAACTGTAGACTTGTTCTCAACTTTATCCCACTAGTAGACATGAGAAGAAAGCCAAGTTAGCTCAGCCTAAGCAGCTTAAAGGGCAAGAAATTGATTATTTAGAAGATACAATGACTGCAGCTGTTAATGGTAGTGTAATAAAGGCCATGTTCTCACCTTTTCCTTCAAGTCAGTGAAAAGCTCCCCAGCATCAACAGAGGTGTCCTCTGAGGCTTTTGTCTGGAGCAGAGAAAGCCTCCGGGATTCTGTTTTTGAAAAAAAAAAAAAAAAGTTAACAAGGATTAAATTAATAAAAGAAAGTTCTTTGAGACTTTTTACTCACATTCTATCCCAACCTTTGCTCTGTTTCATTGAATTGGCCTCACTCACTTCATCCACATTTCCCTTATTTTTCCACATAACCATTCAAGTTTGCCCCTTCATCAGGCAAAGCCCCCACAACTACTTTCCTGCAACTACTGCGATACTTATGATTATCACCAAGGTAACATTTCTATTCCTACGTCACCCACCGCCACCAAAGATTTCGTTTCAATAAGCTCATATTCATAACCCAAAAGTAAAATTCTTCAGTTCCAAATATGGTGCTAGAAGGGCAAAAGATAAAGTCAACTCAGAACTTATTTGAGCTTTAAGCTTTCATTGTCTTTCAATAACATCAAGCAAAACAAAAAAATTAAAAAACAAAAAGGTGTTGACATGCATGTGCATTTTGCAAGTGAAGTAAGTGTTAAGATTCATAAAAGCAGTACCTGCAATTAGCTTAACGGAAGAGGAAAACTTAGCGGAGGAAACGCAAGGAGGGAGGGGCGGCAAGGCAGAGCAGCGGCTGGTTCTAACGGCGGTGGGGACACGTGGAATCAAAACGGCGGCGGCCGCAATGGAGGATGATGCTGCTGCCGCCATTTCAAAATTAACTTTCCCTGGTTCGGATATGTGGCCGCTCGGACGCTACAAATCCTATCCTTTGCTGCCGTTGTAGTGTTTTGATTTTCTTTTCCCCTCTATTTTTTTTGTTTTACAATTTATTTAATTTATTTAGTTTGAATTAAATTTGTGTTGCTGTGATTGATGAGGTACTGGTGCTCCATGTAGAACAGTGATTCAAGTAATCGACACGTGGATAAGATTTGGATACTTATTGGTTGATTCCCTATCTGCAATCCACGATTTGGAGGGTCTTCAGTTCACACATTGTGTCTTTTTGGAAAAAAGGATATTGAACTGCCACATGCTGTCCTGTTTCGTCTTTTCATCTTTTTTTATTGTTATAATGTTACGAACTCAAAGAAGTATCTTAAATCTCACATCAAACATAAAAAGAAAGTCACTGAGCTATCTAACGGTTCACACCATCTTTTTTTTGTGTGGCATCTTTTGTAAGAAAAAATCGTGAGGTCAGGGGGTCAGAGCGAATAATATCTCACAGGGATGTAAATCCTAGCATGTAGATTGATCTGAAACATCGGATGAGTGCAAACCCGGGTTCCGAAGTCGTGCGGATTCGGAGCTTAAGTCTCGACCCGTGACAAGTGGTATCAAAGCCAACCTTATATCGTTCGATCAATGCCAAACACCTCGAGGGAGGTAGGTAGGGTGATCAGCCTCCGTGACGAGGGCGTCACGAGGTTGGGTCGGAAAGAATGTCACCGACCTAAAGAGGGATCCTGAATCTCACATCGAACATAAAAGGAAGGTCACTGGTGTATATAAGGGTTCACACCACCTCTTCCTTATAAGGGGCCTTTTGTAAGATAAAACCATGAGATCAGGGGGTCAGAGCAGACAATACCTCACAAGGGTGTGAACCCTGACAGGTAGGCTGATCTTGGACGTCGGATGAGTAGATGCTCAGATCCTGAAACCACGCAGATTTGAAGCTTAAGTCTCGACTCATGACACTAACACTTTTACCTACTATTCATTTTTTTTTTCTAATGTAAACAAATTACATAACTAAAGTTTAATGTCGTGCTGATAATATTAGAAATAATAACTCAAATTTTATAATAGATTTATTTAAAATTAAATAGATATTATTTGATAGAAAAAAAAATTTATAGAAGAAGAATTTTAAAAAAAATTTTAATATCAAGTTTGACTTGTTAAAAAAAATTTAAGAAAAAAAAATTTTAATAAGTAAATTTATATATTTGTAAATAAGTAAAATCTTTATAGGGTTATAGGGTTAGATATGAAAAAAATATATAAAAATTAAAATTTTATAAGATAAATATCTCGTAAAATTATTAAAGATTTACGTCTTATAAGTGTATATATTTGTTTGGTAATTTATGTCTTATAAGTGTAATGTTTGTACAGTGCATAAGAGTAGATTAGAAGTGATTGAAAGAATTTACATTAGTATGATGAATGAGTACATATATATTTGTGATAGAGGTTATTTGTCCTAACAAATAATAATAACAATAATTTGAGTGATTTCCATTAAAAATTATTACGGATACCAAATAATTATTTCATTATATGATTGGAAACACTTTTTTTTTTTTAAATTACATTAAAAACTCTCTTGTTCATATTATAAAAATAAAATAATCTCATAATTAATTAGGATTAGGTTTTCTGTAAGTATAAATAAAATCCAAATGCAATGCCTGTGCACCCCTTTGCTAACGTGTGTGTTAGTGGCTGAACCTAGAGTAGACTTAATCTTCCAAACATTTATATTTTAAGATAGATTCTAATATATAAACTATAGAAGATTCGTAACTACTTTAAGACTATGACATTGAATCTATTTCTTGGTCTAAGAAATATGGCATAATCAAATTGTGGTGTATAAATTTATTGGCAATTTCATTTCTTGTTGAATACAAACACCAATCATAGCCTTCATATGGCTTTTTTCTATGTGATTGTTTCATGCTTCTAAGTTATACCGAACAACACCACAGAAAAAAAATACTAACAAAATTAAATTAAATTAAATGAAAGCCTTGATAGGGGAAAGGAAAAGGAGACAAGCTTCCAAGTCCACTTGCCCAAAAATAACCAGACCTAAATTTGGAGGTGTGTTCGCATTTCCGTCCTCTCCCGTGGGAGTTTAATCTCCCCTCAATGGCCTCGTTGGCACCGCTGTCTCAACCATTTCTCTCCCCAACTAACCCACCTGACTAGGAATCAAAAACAACAATTGAAACAAATTAGAAAATATTCTTTTTTTTTTTCTCTTTTTCATCAGAGTTGAAAAAGAAATACTTTGGGTGCCAGTTTAACATGGTTAATTTCCATGTTTCATAGAAATATAATACAACAGCTAGACATTCCATTCCCCATTGCTGCATTTCCTTTTCATTTGCCCCTTTCCACTCTCTACCACATCCCTCTTCCCCTTCTTCCCATTCTAATTCCTAGTCGTGATCTTCTTTTCTGTTTTCTTACAATTCTCGAATTTGCATTGCATTGTTAGTTTGACACAAAAGCTTGATATCAAAGAAGGAAACCTGCTTCAGGGTTATATAACCAAAACAAAGCGTTCTTGATGGGGTAGTCTTGATGGGGTCTGATAGAAGTTGGCTCATTATCTTTATGGTTTTCTCTTCATTGTTATCGTCAATTGTTGGTGGTTTCGATAGCTATGATTCAGATGCTTTAGACGCTTTGTTCCGTTATTACGCAAATCAAACATTGGCGAAGCACCACAAAGGCACTTTACACAAAGTCCCTCTTCCTTCTAATTTCTCTGGCATGGAAGTTTCCATCATTAGACTACGTAGCGGGAGTTTATGGCACTTAAAATGTTATTTCTTCGTTGTGTCATTATTTGTAGTTAATTATATTAATAATAAGCATCATATTAGTTAATAATTTCATAGTTCAGATGCTAACAAATCTTGACTTTTAATTTTAAGGAGAGCAAAATAATATTTTGCAATAATAATTTTTTTTTTAAAATATATCAAATTTATTAATAATAAAAATTTTAAAAACAATATCTAATAACAAAACTTATAAATATACTAAGATGTAATATATGTAAACAAAATGAATATATAAAGCTATTGGTTTACAATTTAAACTTATATATCACTAGTAACATTTAAAAATAAATAAATCTGATAAATTTTTATATTATTAACATATTATCTTATCATATTTAATATTTTACATTTTAATAAAAAATTATAAAAATTTATATTCCTAAATAAAAATTAGATTTTAGAATAATAGAATCGAGAGGCTTTGATATAATAAATTAAACTTTTTAATTTTTTAGGGGATATTTTTACATTATAAAAAATAAAAAAAATACTTATTACTAATCATTTTAATTATTTTAGCATGTAACAATTTTTCAAGAAAATGAACATGTGAGATATAATAAAAAAAAAGATTTAGTTAAAAAAAATTATCAAAATTAAATATTTGTCAATTCGATTTTAATTATTATAATACTCAAATACATGTTAAACTTGAATTTACATATTTGTAAAAATATAGTGTTGACAACTTATTCAATTTAAATTGAAATCATTTATAATAAGTAAACCAAATTTAAAGAATTATACGTTTAGATACAAATAATTTTTGTTATTATATATCTAATATAGATATATAAAATAAAAAATAATATATATGAATACAATAAATTTAAGTTTGTGGGGCCTAACTAATTTTTTAAAAAATAATTATTAAGAAAATAGTATATTTTCCATTTTATTACACATGTAATATATGTAACAATAAAATTTTATCATAATATAAATTTTTTCATATTTCAACAAATATCACGTTTTTCATCTTAAAAACATCGTCTTTATTTAATTTTAAAAACTAATTTTTTTTATATTTTCAATAAAGATCATGTTTTTTATATTAAACATTTTGTTTTTGTTGAATTTTGAATTTTTTTATTTTTTTAAATAATGTTTTTAATCTTAAAAACATTATCATCGTTAAAATTTAAGAATTTTGAAAATTAATTTTTTCATATTTTTAACAAGATTTTGTTTTTTTATCTTAAAAACGTCATTTTTGTTCAATTTTAAAAAATAATTTTTTTATATTTTCAACAAAAATCAAGTTTTTATCTTAAAATGTTGTCCTTATTAAATTCTAAAAAAAAAATTCATTTTTTTAACAAATACGGCTTTTTTATTTTAAAAATGCCTTCTTTGTTAAATTCTGAAAATTAAATAAAAAGTAACATAAAATGTTTACGTTTCTAAAATAAATAACATTGTATATATAATCCAAAAATACAATTAAGTAAAGACAAATGGAATAAATTTTTATTTTTCTTTGGGAATCTAAAAAAACTTCAAGGAGAGGAAAGTTTTTCATTTCCTTTTATTTTTCCCTTTTAATACTATTTGAAAATTTAAAAATATTTTAAGAATTACGTTTCTATGAACTAAATTAAAAAATCTAATTATGAAAAATAAGATGCCACTATATGTCTTTCTTTTTCTCACTAACCAAATGCCCATTTAGTTTATGCTGCAGGCTAGAACTCGTTGTTTTGAGTGAATAAACTTGTGATAATCCAAATAAGCAGTTGACGTTCATGATAATTATTCTTGAATTAAAAGGATTCTTGTCAACCTATAGGGATGGAAATCACAGAGCTAAAGAAGTACTGGAAAAGGATGGTCAAAATACGAGCCATTGAGAATGACCAATGTAGTAAGTTTGTTGGCTACTTCAGTCGCATGAATCGCATCCCAGTTTTCATAGTTGTTTGTGTCTTTACAAGCCCATTGATCGCCTTGGTGTTTCCACGGAAAACCTCCCGTTGAATATAGGTGCCACCACCACCTGTTCCAGAAAAAACAAAGAGAAATTAGATTTTATGGTTTCATTCAATGTGTTAATAGTCCCAATTAATAGCCGCCAACTTTGCATTATGAAAATCCACTTTATTCAAGTTCAATGTTCCTGAATTTATTTCAACAATGTAATTATGAGGGAATGTGGGATAATTGAAAAGCTCTAACCGTACAGCATGAGTGTCAACATATATTAGCGAAGCATTTGGAAGATCCCATCTTGTTTTTCTTAGTGCCCCATTTAACATTTTATTGTAATCAATCACAGCCTTGTTGTAAGAGATAAGGCAATCAAATCTGTCCAATTCGGAGGTTTATTGAGGTAGCTGCACTAAAAATATGCTCGATAACGACCAACTGGTGCAAGATTTAGTACAAAAACTGTACGCCCTCCTGGACTATATAGCTCCTGGAAATTTAGCAGCGAGATTCATTATTAAGTTAAACATGAATCCGAGCCCATGAAATTTAGACTTGTAAAACTATCTTATGGAGTATT